AGGGGGGGATCGCTGGCTGGGCCCCCTCCCCGCCTTCATCGTGTTCCGCGGCCGGCCGGCTCTGGGGAGGCGGGCTGAGGGGCGGGCGGGACGCGCCGGCCCTGCTCATTAACGCTGGGCCCGGGCATTAAGGCGGGAGGAGCCTGAGAGGCGGCCGGAGGGTCATAACGGGTTTTAGAGGGGCCCACATGTCTGCGGTGGGAGGCCGCCGTCTGCAGCTCACCGCGAAAGACGCCTTAGTAGCTTTTAAGTGTGTCCCTCCAGAGACCACTGTACTACAGGAATCTCCTCTGCCGTCATTCTGCTCCAAGGGGCGGAGAAACTCGTTCTTCCTTAACAAAACACTTTTTTTTTTTTTTTTAAATAAAAATCATCCTGCAGTGTCGGTTTTGCCTCCTGCCTTGTCACCCCCGAAGTGCTAAGCGGTGGCAGCTGGTGTGGATAGGAAAACCAGGCCTTAGCTGAGGAGGCCGTGCTGTGCTTTGGGTCTGTTTGAGCCGGGTTCGGGTGGTGGGCAGTTTTAAGGGAGAGAGCCCCACTGTTGCCTGTGGCAGTGAGGGCCCTTGGTGTGCAATGGGGAGGAAGGGTTGGAGGCGCTGCCAGCATGGTGCTAAACAGAGGTGGGTAGGATTGGGGCCAAGGCACAGGTAGTTGGTGGGGTGGTGGGAAGAGGACACTCATTTCCTTTGAGGTGGCAAATGGTTACCAAATGGTTGCTAATACATTCGACATTCGGAAAACTCAAACCATCGAATTGCAAGGAGACTCTGGAACAATTTCCCAGGAAAGGCAGAGGGACCAAAAAACACAAATAAAACTTGATCAGGCTCTGAAAAGTTTTGAAAAAGTTTCCTGTGCCCTGAACAGCAGCCCTTAGCATCTGGGGTCAGCTTGTCCTCCCTTCCTATAGCGTGTGACATAACAGCTGCTATATTTCCTCTTGTGCTAGTCCTAATTAAATGGCCATTTAAAGTTTTCTTCCTCTTCCAGATGCATCCAGTCCTAAAGGCCTTTGTGTGTGGTTCCATCAGTGGGACTTGCTCCACACTCCTCTTCCAACCCCTTGACCTGCTGAAAACCCGCCTGCAAACTCTGCAGCCTGCTGTAAATGGGTGAGAGAGTGGGGATGTGTATGTATGGGGGGTGTGGGGGTGCCCCACCATAGGCTTCTGCCTGATTTACTCGCAAGGGCTTGAAGTTTAGGGTTATAGCTTGAATACTGAGAGTCTTTCTGAAATAGGAGGTATGTTTTGATAGTATAGAGAAAGATTGATATTTTGCTTCAGAAAAGAGAAAATGTTGTTCTTGTGAATGCTACTTTAATAACATGTAGCCTCAGCATATGTCTGTATTCATCTGAGAGACTGATGTTTGCTGGAGTCACTGCTGTGCAGTTCCACGGGGTGTTTTCTGCCTGAAAATTCCTGGGTGGTTGTCACATAACTTTTCCATGTGTGCAGCTGCTCATGTTTGCTTGGTATAGTCAACCATGATTACATCTGTTGCTGTTAACAAAGGGAGTGAGCCACTAAAAATGGTAGTGAGAGAGGCCTCTAATGTGTGTTACAAATGGTGGGAAAGCAGAAGGTGATGGAGAAGCCCTGGAAAGACTTGACCAAGAAAAGCAGGCTGAGTTGAGAAAGAGCACCTCTGAGGTTCTGGGGTTATGCACAGACATGAGTGAAATGGGGTGGCTGCAGAGAGCAGAGGCAGATCGTCATTGCAGTTACTGTCTTGTCTTCCTTTCAGGTCCAGTCGTGCTGGGATGGTAACACTGCTCTTCAGGGTTGTTCGTACTGAAAGTCTTCTGGGGCTCTGGAAAGGTGTCTCTCCAGTAAGTGGCTGTTTTAACCCTGACTTGTAAAAATAAGTAGATAAATAAACCTACTGTTTATTACTAACTGTGGCTGTTGGGATTTAAATAACATACTCTTGTACAATTATGAATGCAACCATGTGATTTAGATTAAATCCTATTTTAAGGAGTTAATATTGTGAATTCTACTGATTTGGTCATGGCAGTCCCTGTGGTTTTGCAGTCCTGAGCAGCTGAACACTTGAATACTTTTGCAAATGTGGGGTGGCAACTGCACCAACTTCATTTTGGTTTGGAGTGTCTTGTTCCAAGAAAACTGCCATTGAGGAATGTGTTAAATCCTGGCATCATTTCAGTCAGCTGGCTGTTGTGCCATAAATTATTTTTGCCTTCTCTTCTTTCCTCAGCAAGTTAGCTTTAGTGGGGTTTTTTTTGTTTGTTTTCTACAAAACATCCTGTCAAGTGTGACAGTGTCTGAAATGTTTTGTAGTACATTTTATCTCATGGATGCTTTTTCTTCTTCTTCTCTTTCTTCTGAAGTCCTTTGCAAGATGTATTCCTGGGGTTGGAATTTACTTCAGCACTTTGTACATGATGAAGCAAAAGTTTCTAGTGGACCGTTCACCCACAGCCCTGGAGTCTGTCTTTCTGGGTGCCACTGCACGTGCAGTTTCTGGGATTTGCATGTTGCCAGTGACTGTAGTGAAAACCCGATATGAGGTGAGTATGACTTTCTGATTAGTTCCCTGTTTATGATGTCACATGCCTTCCTTGTGATGAAAAAGAAATTTTTTTGTCTGGAGAAGGTTGCTGCCACTTGGATACAGCCAGGGATGTAGTTCTGATTTCATCCTGGTTCACACGTTGTGCAGGACATGCCACACACTGATATTCGGGCAAGAAGTGGAAGGTGCAACAGAATTCACCCTGAGATTTTTAAGTTTCACTTGTATAAACGTTTGTGTAGCATCTTTCATATTTTATCTTCCTGAAGGATTGTTTTAAAGGCTGAGGTAGGTGAAAACCACTTTTTGCCTTGGGCTGTTGTCCTCTGTGCTGCCATCTGGGGTGTCACACTGGGTGCATGTTACAGTTTGTTTGGACACTGTGTGGGGCTCCTAGGCCTGTGCCTGGCAAAGGGATGACAGACCATTGTCTGCCCTTGCAGAGTGGAAGATTTGGCTATGGGAGTGTATATGGAGCTCTGAAGAATATCTACCAGACAGAAGGGCCTCGTGGCATGTTCAGCGGGCTCACCGCAACGCTGCTGCGGGATGCGCCCTTCTCTGGCATCTACCTGATGTTCTACACACAGACCAAAAAACTCACACCTCAGGGTAAGGCTGAACGTCGGAGGCTGTAATGAAAAATGTTTCTCTTCTCACACCTTGCTCTGCAGTTGTCTGCCTGCATGCTCTGTGTATTGCCCTCTACCTCAGTAGTTAACTTATTCTATTGTAGGGCTTTAGGTGGGACATCTTCCTATGGAGAACTGTAGACCTATAGCTCAGGTCAATGTACAAATGGAAATGGGCTCAAAATTGACTGGTTGGCTTTATAAAGACTGATGCGTAAGGTGGGTTAGTGAACAGTTGAAAGAGAGGATGTGTTCAGCAGTGCTTTCTGTTTCTGGTTGTCTTGTATCCTGATCGGTTTCCACTAAACTGGGGCTTCTCTGATGTTAGAACTGTCTGGGCAACACTTGCACAATCTTTCCTTGTCAGAGCTCCTGTCAAATTCAGTTCCACAGCAAGTGAGGCTTTTTAATAGTGCTAACTCTTGGCTTGTAGCCACTTTTCCTCTGGAAACATTTCTTTACCCTGCATGGATTTTAACTTCTCTTAGATTCTTGATATTGACTTAATCTTTCAATAGATTTTCACTTTGTCATACAGCAGGAGTGTTCCTGGCCTGTTTTGTGTTTAGTGCATTCCCTTTGTTTCGTTGCAGACCAGCTGGATCCAGTGCTCATGCCCTTGCTGAATTTTGGTTGTGGGATCTTTGCGGGAATCTTGGCCTCGCTGGTAACGCAGCCTGCTGATGTCATCAAAACACACATGCAGCTGTCCCCCCAGAAGTACTGCAGGACAAGTCAGGCCATTGCTTTCATCTACAAGGTGAGGTGAATCTCTTCTAATATGCACAGTCACAGCCTCGCTTCTGATCTCCTTGCCTGAAGCACAGTTATGCTAAGAAAGTCCTTGCCTTTTAAAGGAGTTGAACAAATGTGACTGCTTGACATGCTCTTGCAGTCAAGCTAATTAGTATCAGCATTTTCAGAAGCTGAAGCGGGTAATGCTGTGGGAGATTAAGGCTTAATCTCTTGTCACCAGTTTATGTGCAGACCTTTCAGTAATACCTGAGCAGTAATCTGGTTGATTGTTTGAAAGCAGTTGGAAGCACCAGCTCATTCGAGTTGGAAGAATGATCTGGAAAATTACAGGCCTGTCAGCTTGACCTTGGTGCCTGAGAAACTGATGGAGCAGCTCATCCTGAGTACCATTGTATAACACATGAGGGACATCCAGATGCTTAGGCCCAGCCAGCATGGGTTTATGAAAGGCAGGTCCTGCTTGACAAACCCTATCTCCTACGACAGGGCGACCTGCTTATTGGATGAGGGAAAGGCTGTGGATGTTGTCTACCTTGACTTTAGTAAAGCCTTTGACACCATTTCTCACAGGATTCTCCTGGCGAAACTGGCTGCTCGAGGCTTGGATGGGCACATGCTTTGCTGGGAAAAAACTGTCTGGATGGCCGGGCCCAAAGAGTTGTGGTGAACGGAGTTAAATCCAGTTGGCAGCCGGTCACGAGTGGTGTCCCCCAGGGCTTGGTGTTGGGGCCACTCCTGTTTAACATCTTCATTGATGATCTAGACGAGGGGATCGAGTGCACCCTCAGTCAGTTTGCAGATGACACCCAGTTGGGTGGGAGTGTTGATCTGCTCGAGGGTAGGGAGGCTCTGCAGAGAGACCTGGACAGGCTGGAGCCATGGGCTGAGGCCAACTGGAGGAGTTTCACTAAGGCCAAATGCCGGGGGCTGCCCTTGGGCCACAACAACCCCCAGCAGTGCTACAGGCTTGGGGAGGAGTGGCTGGAGAGCTGCCAGTCAGAGAGGGACCTGGGGGTGTTGATTGACAGTGTGCTCAGGTGGCCAGGTGTTTAGTCTGGAGAAGAGGAGGCTGAGGAGAGACCTCATCACCCTCTACAGCTCCCTGAAAGGAGGGTGCAGAGAGCGGGGGATGAGTCTCTTTAACCAAGTAATAAGTGACAGGACAAGAGGGAATGGTCTCAAGTTGCACGAGGGAAGGTTTAGACTGGATATTAGGAAGCATTTCTTTCCAGAAGGGGTTGTTGGGTGTTGGAATGGGCTGCCCAGGGATGTGGTGGAGTCCCCATCCCTGGAGGGGTTTGAGTCTTGTTGACATAGCGCGGAGGGATATGGTATAGTTGAGAATGGTCAGTGTGAGGTTAATGGACTAGATGATCTTCAAGGTCTTTTCCAACCTGGATGATTTTGTGATTCCTTGCTTTTCCTTGTAAATAGAGAGGCCATTGTCACTACTGGAATCTCTATCTTGCTCCTCTTGAATGAATTACAAGGCAGTGTACTTGCTCCCTGATTATTCTTGCCATTGCTTGTCAGTCTCAGTCCAGCCGAGATTAGGGCAATGACAAACAGAATGACAAACTCCAACGAACACCAGTTTGTTGAAGGGGGCGCATTGTCAAGAGCAAATGCCGCTGCAGTGTCTGCAATTTATTACCACTTGTTTACATAGGTTTGTTTTTATTTATACATCCTACTGACCTTCAAGTTTTACCTGTTTACTGCTCACACACTCACCATGCATTCTGCAGGTGGTGGTTTTTTTACTAATCTTTCTCACGCAACACAGTGTTACACTATCCTGCATCAGTTTCCCACAGTCATTCTTCTAACCTCAAGGTCAGTTTACATTTTGCTAACCACCAGTTCTTAATTCCCATATCTCCCCCTTTTTTGTTTTGTAGTTTCATTTCCATGGCAATCATTGCAATCAGTTGTGATTCAGTCTTCTGCACTGTGGACAGGAGGCATCATACATGTCACAGGGTGGCAAATCCTGTAAAACAAATCAAACGTCCCAGGCCTGCTAAAACCCACATCTGTAGGTTCAGACCTGCAAATTAATGCTTAGGGTTGAGCCATGATAAACTTTTGCTTAACTCTTTCATGATGTCATCATGCATTAATTTCAAGGATCCCAATTAAACTCAGACATCAGAGTGAAAAGGATAGGCTGATTTCACTACCAATGTTTAAAGAATATAACTAAGTAGTACAAAAATAAGCAGTAAGAAAAATACAAAATAGTACACTTAGTAACTACTATATATAATTAAATAAGGCAAATGCACCTAATCATTACTACACAATGGAGTACTAATATCCAGATCTACAGTTGCTGGGGAGCCCCAGTTGCAATGAGGATGTGGAGTAGCTTTCCCTGCAAGTGGGAAGTCCTACGCAATGCATCCATCTGTAGGTGACATATCCGGAGTTGCAACCAGCGGGTTCAGCTTCATATATCCAAATCAACAAGCCAGAATAACTGGCGCTTTTCTTTGAGTGGAAACATCTGGTTTCATCCTCCTGTGGGATTCCACTCTGCCTGGCCACTACTCTCCGGGGGGGAACCAAGGGAGTTTTCTAACAAGGTCAAATGTTTGTGTTCTTAATCTTTAACACTGCTAAACAAAGAAAGTTGGATCTGTGTCTCAAAGCAAAAATTACTGTAAGATTATGGCTAGATACATTGGCCATAGATAGCTAAAATATCGAGGATCTGTAATGATGATCTGATATTGGCCACTACCGTTGCTTCTGTTAGAATTGATAGTACAGTTTGAAATAGCAATGAAGTACACAGTGGTGGAAAATTGGCACAGAACCTACAAGCATTTCATCTCATTTGTGTCTCTCTTCCAGCCAACAAAATACACAGATGAGTTGTACAGATGGTCTAAAATATTGTGACTGCACACATGCACCCCTTCCTCCTGTGGGCATACACACAGGGGGGCATCCACATACAATGTTATATTGGCAGCATTCAAATGATATGACTGGTTCTCTGTGTCTCGAGGAGGAAGCCAAGCCCCTCCAGTCCACAGTGTATCATTATTGGCTACTGATCCATCGGGATCCCACCAGTGCCACCGTGTCTTCTGCCTTCTGTTGTAATTGTTTTAGGCTTCCCCGAGTCATAGCTGTAGTTGCCAAGTTCCTAGGGGAAGGTAGCCTGTGTGTGTATTCCTGCATTGTCAGCTGAGGCGTCTGTGGATTGGGTTGGAGGGTTGCCCCTTTCAGATCACAGTATGGCTCGGCTTTCCTTGCTGGTACCCACCTAGGACCCGTGGGGGATAAAACACAAGCATATTCCTGCTCCCATACCAGCAGATCTGCTGGTCCTCTCCAGGTCAGGTCTCCTTTGGGATCCTTATACAAGACTCTTGGTTTAACTATAGAGTCCGCTGTGGTGCTAAAACGATGTTCTGCTGCTGTCAAGGCAAAATTATTTCTGTTTAAAGAGTATATAAAGCCATTGCCAGCTGATTATGTGGTGTGTCCGGAGAAGTCCCACTTCTTTGTTTTAAAATCAAGGCTTTTAGTGTAGGATGTGCATGTTCGACTATTGCCTGTCCTGTGGGGTTATAAGGAATACCTGTCATTTGCCGAATCCCTCATTGCTGCAAAAATAGTTGTAAGTCTGCCACCTTCTGTCTCTAAAATCCACCATCATTCTCCAGGATCCATTACTTTTCTTGACAGGCCATATTGGATTGTTCCAAGCTGTGGTGGTTGGCTTTAAAACTCCTACATCTCATAAATCTCTAATTGTCTGTGATATCTCTTCATGTCCTCCCAGAATTCTATATTGCTTCATCGTGACTAACTTAGTTGCAGCTGGAATCTGCATGGGAGGCATTTTTACTCCACTGACCATAACAGGTCTGGCACTAATATAGGGTTTAACTCCAAAATTGATACTGACCATCAGAAAGATTTAAAGTTAGTCCTTTTAGAATGTCTATACCTATTACATATTCAGGAACGGGGACAATCATGACTATATACAATTGTCTTATATATAGTCATGGTTTCCTATTTTCATTTCTATTTGTGTTTTTATATAGTCATGGTTTCCTATTTTCATTTCTGTTTGTGTTTGTACAGCTTCAATTTGTGTTCCTTCCAAACCTGTGATAATTACAGGTTGTCCTTTAAATTTCCTGGGATTCCCATATATTAAGGAAGCTTCCGCTCCAGCATCAATCGGGGCATTTACAGTTTGTGAGGACCGTATTGATTCCCCTCCCTTGCCTCCGGCCAAGGGTACAAGTCAGAAAATGGTGGCCAATCCTCTTTCACCCCAGAACTGTTGATCCAGTCACGGGGGCCCTCCATGAGCAGATGGAGGGTCCCGTTGAGGTTCAAGAAGGGGCACTGTAGGCTGACTTGTCCCTGAATTCTTAGTTTTAGAACTCTGCGCTCACTTGCTAGGTTTATTCAGCCCTCCCTGTGTATATATTCACCACAGCTCATCGGTTGGAATGCCATCAGTTTTTTTCATGAGACACAGTGTCTTTTAAAGCCATAAGCTTTTCCTTATGAGAACTCCTGTTTTCACTGCCTTTAGGGCTCTCTTGAGTCTCTTGATTCCCTGCACTCTCTCAGGGGCCCCACATTGGGCACCACTTTTCTCCTTTGCATAGGAGCACATTGCTGCTGTCTTCTTCAATTTTTTGTACAGCTCACACAGGGCACTGTTTGTCAGTCTTGGACCAGCTGGGATCGGGGCAATGCGCAGAAGAATGACAATCTCACACCAGTTTGTTGAAGGGGGGGTATTGCCAAGAGCAAATGCTGCCACAACTGTCTGCAAGCTCCCAGTTTATTACCACTTGTTTACATAGGTTTGTTTTTCGTTCTACATCCTACTGACCTTCAAGTTTTACCTGTTTACTGCTCACACGCTCATCATATACGTTCTGCAGGTGTTGGTTTTTACACAGCAGTGTTACATAATGCTGCCTCAGTTTCCTACAATCATTCTTCTAACCTCAAGGTCAGTTAATAATTTGCTAACCACCAATTCTTAATTCCCACAATTCCTCGGTCCTCTTACCTGTTTTCAGAAAATTACAGATGATTGAGAGTAAGCTCAGAGTACTGGAGCACAAAGATCTCTCCACACAGACCTGCTTCCTGTTTCAGGCTGGTGAATAATTTCACTTCAGTTCTGTCTGTTACACATTGACTTTTACACCGGTAGTGATGGAGAGCACTTAAGTTTATTTCATCTTAACTTCATTTCAGCTTAGTTTAGGATGTAGGCTTGGAGGAGCTGTGCCTACAGCTGCTGCTGCCTCTGGTTTATCACTGTAGGCACATCTGTGATTACCACACAGGGGCAAAAAATTTCTTCAGTATGTAGTGTAAAATGCTGGTTTCTGATACAAAGCAGCCACAAAACAATTATTTGCCCTTTGGACACTAGAAGAGAAGCAGATGCACAGATCTGTATCCCAGGAATGGGATGGAGATGTACTCAAAGCCCACCTTTCCCTTACTGCCCGCAGAAAGGTGGATCTTGGCAGGCTTGCTTTGTTTCCTTATTGAAATCTGTTCCTAAACAGGAATCTGCTTATTTGTGCATGGATTTTTTTTTTTTTTTTTGTGCATGGTACATTTTTCTCATATCAGGATGTTTTTTTACTTCAGTACTTAACAAATCTCAGTTTTTACAGAATAGCTAAGTGACTTTTCTAAACATGAAGCTCTAAACCAAGTCATTTTCCTGAAGTGTCTTGAAACCGTTACACACTCGCTTTCTCTTTGATGGGTTTGAGTGTGGCTCTCCGCATGCATTGTCCTCATCCTGGCATTCCCTTCTCCACTCTGCTCCTCCTGCTTTCATGGGTAGCCCTGCAATTGCACAGTGCTCTTCCTAAACATTAAATGCTTATTTAAACCTGGGCCTTTCAGAAACTGATCTGGGTCTGAGCGGAAACATATCCTGTGCTGTTCCACATAATAAATGATGAGATATTAAAATGCTAGCGGCAGATTGTGATGGATTGCTGTTTCTTTATCTCCTGTTGCAGGATTTTGGGCTGGTTGGCTTTTTCCGAGGTGGTGTGCCACGTGCCCTCAGGCGGACTCTGATGGCAGCAATGGCATGGACCGTGTATGAACAGATGATGGAAAAGATGGGCTTGAAATCTTGACTGACTTGCACGAGAAATGGCCAGCTTCGCTCCTCCTTGCTGTGATCAACTGGCACTACGAAGTTCCCAGTTCCTCAGAGGAATAAGCCTTGCTCAGTCAGGAGGAAGACAGTCTTCTGAGACAGGAGATTGGGCCTTTTGGCAAGTAGAGGAAAGAAGGATCTGATCTTTGCGTCATTTGATCAGTGCATTCTAGAGACTGCACTTGCAGACTGCCATGGGAAGTGGCAGGGTTTCCACAGCCTTGTAACAGTGCTGAGAGAAAGCCCCTTTTAAAAATAGCTCTGTGCTTGCCACCTTTATGCAGTGAGACGTTGCTGAGCAAAAATGTTTGAGGAGAAAACAGTGATTGCCGAACCTGCCAGCCTGTTCCTTGCTGGTCTGGCCAGTAAGGCCACAGTGACCCACAGTCAGATGTAGATCCTCCATCCTTACATGCTTTGTTCTCACAGGGGAACATTGCAGAGCATGGTGGGAGACCTGAGGTGTCTCTTAATGCTTATATTGCGGGAGTAGGTGGAAGAGAAATGAAGTGCTGAAGGAAGGGTGGGAACATGGTCTCTTGTCATCACTTTTGTACTATGCATGATAGCAGAGAAGGTAACTGGAACCTCCTTGCTGTGTCATGTGTTATTACGTAATTGAGCATCTTAATACTCTTGAAATGTGCATCTGCCTCTACAGCAGTGTTTGCACAGGATTTAAGAAGCATAAGGCACTTTAGAGCTGATTGTTACCAAAGTTCTACTTGTTCTCTAAAAAACATTTTTCCTGCTGGTCTGACTATCAGGAACACTCAAGTATTTTTTTTTATCCAGTTGTACTAGAGACTTGCTTCCTATTACTCATTTGTTAATCCCTGATCAACACCCTCAGTGTGAGCTGGTTCTTAGATGTACCTTTTAGGGTCATAGTTCATAATGCATAGATGTATAATGGAAGCAGATGTAGATAATGACACTTCAGACTTCCCTTAAAAGCTGCTGCTGATTGTGTGTGGAGTATCTTTGGGTTTGGAAAGAAAAAGCTGCTCTTTTCTGTCAACTTTCTGCAAAGTTTGATACCTATGAGTGTTTAGTAGGGAACTTTAATTCTCTTCAGGGTCCACACAGACCCTTCACAGTTTCCCAGCTGATAGTTTTCTCTTAGCAGGTAGTTCATATTTCCGTATTCCTGAGTTTAGGCGTAGAGATAAATACACTTTTTTATCAACTGTGCCTTCTTCCTCATTCCTACTTTGTTACACAGACCTTGTAGCATGTGCTGTCCAGACTTGGGTACAGCCTGCTCCCCTCTTCACTTGTGCCTCTGTGCTGACTGGCTGGTTTGGGACTCTTGCAGCTCTGTTGGCATTGCCACAAAGCTTGGCATGGCAGTGTGCACCCTGTTTTGTAGCGTGCCTTGCAGAAAATGTAATTTTTGGCTTTTATTTTCTTAAGTATCTACAGATACTACAATCCACTTTAGGAACAGAGCAGATGTCTCTAAATATGAAGACGTGACACTGTATCTGTATGAACAATCAGTACTACCTACCCATTGTTTGTAAAATTTAGAGCATAATTTGCGCAATCACTCCTGCCCTGGCAACCTCCTGAGCACAAGAGTAGAGGGGTCGTCGGTTGTAAAAGATGTTCTTCACCAGATTCCAACTCCAAGAGGGTTTGATGACAGATGTGAAAGTTAAGTCTGAGTAAAGTGTAAGGGGAGGGGCTGGAGGCTTCAAGGTGCTGCCTGCTTTTAGCCTCAGCCCATCTGCGCGGGGAGACTGGTGCCACGCAGTGCAAGAGTCTCCATGGATGGTGGCGGGGGGTCCCGTGTGCACATGTCTGCAGATGTTAACGGTAGAGCACCGCATAAAATCATTCCACGTTGTGACTGACAAGCTGTCACATTCCCTCTGCTGCTTCTCACTGTCAGGCATGTGAGCACATAATTTGCCAAATCCTAAATATGAAGAACTGTTCCTTTCTTTTGCTGTCCTTGCTACCCTTAGTGACCCGGACTTGTGAGAGTGCATGAAACAGTGGTAACTGCACATCCTGCAGTGTGTTACCCTGAGCACTACTGGCACAGAGAGCTGGAGAACTAAGTCTAGGGTTGCTGACATGGCAGAGTAAGGTGGGAATTACATCAATTACCTTGTTTGTCTTTTATTCCTCTATGCGTAGGATCAAACCAATGTATTGTACTGGAAGCCTGAATTTATTTGGGGCTTTCTTAATCTGGTGTGTGAGGTGGATCTGTTGATCATCCTGGGCAGTGGCAGTCCGGGGCTGTGTATGGTGTCACCTGCAAGGTGTTTCACGAATACTTTGGTTCCTGATTTAGCAATGGCAAAGCAGTGTGCAACTTGTGCAGACAGAAACTTAGGCTCTTAAAAATGAGAAGAATGCCAGGTAATAAATTTTGAATTAAGCAATGTCCTCATCAGAAACCTGAAATGCAGGAGCTCTTCAGTGGTTTTTATGCCCTATACTCCTGCCTGGTCAAGTAACAAAGGAATTACTAGAGAATTTATTCCAGTATGCTGGTATTTTAAAATCTACAGATTTTATTTTTTTTTAAATTAAGTCTGGATTCAGTCTTAAAGCAGTTAGCTTTTCCTTTGGGAAAGTTCTTCCATTCTCCTTACTTTGTGGAGAATGAGGAGGCTCTTTGTTGTCACAGTAGAGTGAAAAGATACATGCTTTTGACTTGTAAATTAGCCTGGGCTTCTTTAAGAAACAGAGAATCTAAATTGCACTGTTTCATCAACTTTTGGTGCTGCAAATCCAAAAACTTCTTTACACGTGAGCTGGGGAGAGGGAGTTTTGCAGTGCAAGTTTGTTGTTTGTTTTTCTTTATTATTTCTTATGTCAGGTCTCATATATGGGGGAAGGGAAAGCCTGAAGATCTGTTTCTTCTGGAAGCTGTGTCGCACAGGCAGGCACAAGACTGTTTCTCAGCTCTGAGCCTTACCATCCTTCACGCTTTTACCCTCTTCAAAAACATTCTGTTTCTAAAGTGATTTATCGAAGTTATTCTTGATAGCTATAGCAAGTCCAGAAAAACAAATGTTTGGACATTTTAGATACATTGCCCTTGAGGTTGTATGCTTCTAATGAACAACAAATGGTCATTGTACAACCTAAATGCAAAGCAAATCAAATAAAAGATCCAGCACAGGTGCTTAATCACCTACCTGCACCATGCCAGCAATTCCAACACTAACAATCCTGTTAGATAATAATTTCCAAAGCCATCTTAGCTTGGATTCCAGAGAACGTGGTCCGATCCCTTATACAGCAGGATCGCAGTCGGATTCCTCTTGGAATGACCTCTGTTGCTGACAATACACTGTCAGTGAATGTGCATTGTCTCTGCTTGCCCCTGCAGCTGTGATGTATGAACACAACTGGTTAACATGTTGAGGCAGTCAGTATTTAAGTGAGTTTTAAGGACACAAGAGAAATTGTCTGATTATTTGTTTTAGAAACTTCACGTTTCCTTTCTTCCTGTGCTGATGATGTTTTTTTTTTTTTTCTTGCACTGTTTAAACAGAACTGGAGCTTTGGAACATTGGATAGGTTTGAGTATTTTGAGCGTTTATGTGTCTATATAAAATATTTATGTGAGATGTATTATATGTTTCTATTAAAAACTGGTTGCCAAAATGAACCATGTCATCTCTTTTAGTGTTTCTTTAAAAAAAACCCAAGTCAAACTCACAAGGGATGGGATGGAATAGAGGCTTAAGAAAGCAAGAGAAGTTTCCCAAGAGAACAGGACTATTGAATGAGCTCTGAGCCCATCCAAGGCAATGCATATTCTCTTTTTCTGTGGGGTGTAATCTACACAAGCAGTGCCAGTACAACCTAAATCAGCTTTACTTAAATGGGGAAAACACAGCAATGGGGAATCTTGTCTTTTTCACAGCTTCCTCTGCCTGCCTGCTGTGTGTAAAGACTGATGGGAATCAAATCTTCATAATAGCTGGTGAAATACCCACCTTTAAGATTGGGGTTTTGAGCACTCTTTTTAAAAGTCTCCTGCCAAGCAGGTTTTTGCTACTCAGGCAGTCTGATCTCAGCAGGGGACCAGAGCTTGTGGCCTGGGACATAATCTTCTGCTGCAAGGAGTAGTGCAAGGTGACGCTGGATTGCTGGGGTCTCCTCTGGCTGTCACAGCATGGCACTGGGATTCAGTAGCATGCAGGTTGTGCTAAGCAAACCACTGGTGATGTCGATACCAAGACAAACATCTTCCAGATGTGAAGGTCCCAAACCCTTTCTCTTTTCAGATGTTGCCTAGATGATGTATTCTTATACTGAGCAATTTTCACAGAGAGTTATCTGTGTGTAACAGACCTACCAGACAGTCCTGGCGTGCAGCCTCAGTGCAGATACCTGATACCATGTTAGGCTGGCAATAGTGCCCGCTCCTGCATGCAGCGCTCCCCAGAACTCTCCTCCTGCCTTGGAGAACCACCTCAGTGTAGAGGGTGTTCCTGCTCGTGCTGCCAACAGCTGCCCCAGCTGTTAGAAGAGATAGCGGACAAACTCCATAACCCTCTTGGGTAGTGGAGGGTGGGAAAGATAGAAGAAGCACACTTTAAAGGCACTGCTCTTGTAATAAAACATTGAATTACAGATCTCCCTTTCACTTAAAAATCAGGCAAATGCTTTGCTTTTTTAATTTTTATTTTTAATGTACTACATGCCATGTGTAACTGCTGCACCAGAACTGAGCAGAAAGTATTCCTCATCTCACACACACACATACGTATGTGTACTTTTACAGGCTCCATGTGGAGCTACTGAACATGTTTGTCCCTCTGGCATTGGTTCCAGTTTCAAAGTATCGAGCTCATTTTCCACATTGCACTGCTTCTTAATTTCCAATTTTATCACTATAAAATGCTTTGGGAGATTTTATTGTAAGGCAGTAAGGAGTTTTAGTAAAAGTGACAAAAAGCCCAGTAACAGGTTAAAATGAGACCTACACAACTTTTGTAACAGATGTTAGGCAATTCTAGCTTTGTAGAACTAGAAATAAGAAGGGAACAGATTTGCTGATGTTTTCAAAAAAACTTGAAAGAAATAATAATAAACCTTTGAAACACAAGCCAAGACAGAATTAACAAAACAGCAGGGTATTGTGCAGCTTTGCTGGAGGTGGGTTATCTCCATGGGTTCCTCTTTGTCTTCTAGAGGGTCCAGCCCCAGGGGTGCCACACCATCTCTTAGATGACACCCACTGGCACATTTGGTGGAGAAGATGCTGCCCAAACATGTTGCTGCCTGAGCCTCTTCCCAAGGCGCATCCTTCAAGCCATTCACAGGATCCATTCTGGTGGCAGGAAACACCTCCACTGCAGCCCAGTGGCTCTCTCCCACCGAGGAGGTCCTGTTACAGCCCCCTACTCAGAGGCTTCTCCTGGCAAGGGCTGCTGCTCTCCCCTGCAGCCTGGCTGGATGGTGGGGAGATGCTCTTTCCAGGGCTTGGTAATGTCACATCCCGCTCCGACGTGGGGGACAAGTGACTCAGATTCGCAAATCCCCAATTGGAGCGGACAAGTCTCCAAGTTCAAGCATTTATTAACTACCTACAATGTACTAATTGAACACAAGATAATTGGCCAAGTACAGAGCAAGCTGTGGCGAGCAATACAATATGGTTTGCATTTCTTAATAGAAAAAGGAAAAGAGGGAGATAGAGGGAATGGGGGAATACAGATCACCAGTCTGGGTTCCTGCGCTCCTCCTGCCGGCGAGGATTCCAGGAGGCAGCTATCTTCTTCGCTGGCATCCGTCTTCTTTGCTTCACTGCTCTCTCCAGACGGCCGGGGG